GATAAACTGAGATTATCCCTACATACTTTCTGAAATAGCATGTAACTCATCACATTTATATTGGAGTACCATTCTAAATAATATCAGTATGTCAATGTACACTGAGTGTCAGTCTCTGTCAACAGGTTGCTTCTGTGTTGTTGTTTTTTTAGATGCTGTGTAAATAATCGAGTCTGGACCAAAAAATGCTGTGATTAACATCATGATCATCTACACAATTGGTATACGATAACTGAGGTACTGGGGTACTATTCGAGGCGGAGTTAAACCCAAGTCACTTACTCTTGCATACACTCCTGGTGTAACATTTGTCCAATGTAGTCATCACTGATTATCAGAGATCAATTGGTTAGTAGTACTTATTCCTTTTATGCCCAATGTAATGTTTCGGAAAGTAATTATCTCTGGCATTGACGTTCCCAATTTCCAGCGACATCAATGATCAATGCAAAAACAATAATCATCATACCATATCAAAATTCAGTTCACCTGATACTATGGTTGATAACATATTAATGTATACGTAATGCATATTTATAATTGAGGTCACAAATAATAATCCGTGTGCATTTTAAACTCATGTATATGTCAACCAACAATAAGATTGTTTTGTTTGTTAGAATATACCGTGAGGTAGCTCAGTGGACAAACCAATTTTTATCCTGTAGGGTCGGGTGCGATTGCCAACATGAATGCAATGTGATGGTTATATTGACAAGGACAACCTGCTAGAGGTGCTCACGTCTCTCGGGAAGGACCCCTCCGGTGCAGACCTTGATGTCATGATCACCATGGCGCCAGGGCTAATCAACTTTACTATGTTCCCCACGCTGTGTGGGGAGAGACTGAAATGTTAAGTTTCCAGAGACATTGAAAACGCATGGAAAGAATGCAAGTAAGGGTCTATGCGGACACGGTATCATATGTCTTACTGATATTGAACTTTATTTTGCTTGACTGTGTACATTTCAACATGGGATACCTGTTATTATCAAGTTCTACCCGTTAAGATCCGGGTTAGAATTGATCTTCAGTAACCCATGATTGTCGTAAGAGGCGACTAACGGGATCGGGCGGACTTGTCACCGTATCCCGATTGCGTAGATCGATACTCAGGCTGTTGATCACTGGATCAGACCAGACTCGATTATTTTCAGACCGCCGCCATAAAGCTGGAACATTGCTGAGTGCGACAAAAAAACTAAACTCACTCACTCATTATCAAGTTCTTCAAAGGATCCTTTTAACAATGTCAATGTTTACTTTTTGTTGTGTTAGAGAAATAAATAGATAAATAGATAAATAGATAAATTCTGAATTTTGAAATTTTTATGGTTGGTAGTGAAACTCAGAGGGTTAGATTAATGTAAAAATATTGTCCTTCTACTGGTGGTAAGGATCCGACAAACAAAGGGATCCGACAAACATTTTCCCTCTGCTAAAGTCTTACCAATAAGCATGTCCACACCTTTGGTAGGGAGAGATTCTACAACCCCCACCTACACCATCCCAGACACCAAGTCAGTCTTTAAATTCCCAAACTGTTTGAGACGCACTTGTAAAACCAATCTGAAGAGCACCAGTATCCCTTAAAACGCAAGTGGGCTTAACATTGGCAGTCGCCATGAACGGACACAAAATCCTCACTAATACAAGGTAAGTACTGCTCTCTCTTAACAACATATACTTTGATTACTGATCTACAAACGCTAACAAGACTTGGCATTCACAGAATCAGTGGGGGAAGAATGACTGTTTTTCAAAGCGTATCTTCAGAACCAGCTGTGGTATAAGTTGACCGTTTGTCAACAAACGCAGAACCAGAGGTTGAACTACCCTTTCCCGGTTTATAAATCCGTGGACTCCTGTGTGAAAACCCTGACTACCGAAGCCTAACACAACGAGTTAGCGAATTATCGTCAGTCAAAGTAGCAGTTGCAACTGATCAACTTTTCTCATCGTCGCGATAAGTTCGAATGTCTATTGACACACACTGCTTAAACAAAACCAACTGCCACACTATCAAAACTGCCATTGACCTCTTTAGAAGAACACCACCATCCCTGTTTCGGAAGACCTATTTTTTTGTCTGCACGCTCCATAAACCAGTACATAAGCCTTCAAAACTGCCGTTTTAACAGATCGATAATTAGAAGTCCTATCAATCGGGGGTATAAGCCTCTTGAGCTTTACCCCCCAAATGCACCTTGCAACAAGCTTGTCCACTGACACTAAGCCTATTTCCAATTGTCAGCCACCTTTTCAAAATGCAAGAAAAACTTTTCGACATCACGTTCAGAGAAAGGCGGAACAAGAATTAGTCGAAGGGACCGTTCATAATTAATGGCTAGGGGGATGATGATGATTTTTATGGAGAAGCGTGTACAATGTGGATGCCCCCCCACCCCTAAAATTTATGTACAAAATAAGTGACCCCCTGCGTGTCATGTACAAAATCAGTGACACCCCCTCCCCTTCCCATAATTTAATGTGTAAGCATAATTTTAAACATATTTTTAAGTACAAAATTGCTGACTCCTCCCCATTGTACGTGTGGACAAAATTGCTGACCCCTAGCTCCCCAGAACAAAATGGGTGACCCCCTTAAATCATCATCACCCCACCTAGCCATAAATTATGAACGGTCCCTAATCTGCTTTGAAAGATGACGCGATCCATCACCCATTGATATGACTCTGACAATCGAGTTCTTTCATCTTAATTTCTTTTTCAACTACCAATTGCTTCATTCGAAATTCCCTTTCCTTCTTTTCAGCTTTAGTTGCCTCTTCTGCTTTAGTTCCTTTTTGTTCCATAGCGATTTTTCTCATTTGAATAATCATTCAGTGCCAATACGTCAGTCTTCACCTCTATCAGGCCAAAGCAGCCTTATCCAATAGTTCTTTTACCACCGGGTATGCAATCGAAATTTTATTGACATCGGCCTTGAGCATACCAGATTTGAGTTCGACGTTTTAAGCAGAGAGTCGTGTTCCTCAGAAAGACAACAATGTCTCTCCATTAAAATCCATAGTGGTTGTTAGTTTCACACTATGAAGCAAAACAAATTTAATCCAAATACCATCTATAGTTAAAATGGTTTAGTGTTAATTACTACAGTAACTTTTAAATTGAAATATGTGATGAACTATTTGTTTTACTGTCCTTTGCAGAGAGGTAAGTAAATGTTCTAACTTTGTATTTATTCATTTATACATTTACAACTTTCTTAGTCACGATATGGCTGAAATACTGCCGATGTGACTTTAAATTTTAACTCACTCACTCACTAATCCAAATACTGTGAGAAATAATTTCGAAATGTATTAAATTTCGGTCCTCGATGAGCCCCCAATTTCTGTTGCAGGCCTGTGGTGTTGTCGTACAGTGCAGAACTTTCTCTGAATATAGCACAAGTCTAAATAGAAAGAACACTACCGCCAGCTACTGGATGTCAAAGCTATCTTGTATTACACTTGGAACATTGACAAACATTGAATAATTGTCTCATGCGATCGCTGTGTTGGTTCGCTTTGCAAGCTATTGACTATTACAAGGCAAAACATTTTAAGTTCGCAGAGGTCAGACTGAATGACCCTGGTAAGCAAATTCATTTGAATACACGTAGTACTGAATTCCTTGGATATCACTACAAAACACACGATAGATACAGAAATATTTATTGCAAGGAACTTCATGCAATCAATTGCGATATGCAAATGTAACAAAAAGGACATATTTTGAAGGTTTCTGCCACTTTTCAGTTTCAAATGTATACCAACTTCTCTGCACCATAAGCAATCTAAAATCAACACACATCAATCCTTATTAATACTTAAATAACATTTCATGGTAGAGAAATGGAAATATGTAATACAATCTCATAAAAGCAGGCATAGTTATGTTAACATTTTGACGCGATATGATAAACATTAATCATGAGAGAAGCGTGATACAAGATGCCATTAGTATTATGCTAGTAATAAGTAAATAAATGTTGTATTTATTATTCAGATTGGTTTGAAAAAAGAATGAATAAAATATATACTTTTAATCTAATGTGCATGATCACTGATACTTAATTCTTCATATACCGCTTCATCTGTCTCTTAATATGATATACTCGGGCGGTGGGGGAGCCTAGTGGTTAAGGCGTTCGCTCGTCACGCCGAAGACCCGGGTTCGATTCCCCACATGGGTACAATGTGTGAAGCCCATTTCTGGTGTTCCCCGCCTTGATGTTGCTGGAATATTGCTAAAAGCGGCGTACAGCCGAACTCACTCACTAATATGATACTTGTCATACAAACGGGTGAGATTTTGAAAACATACTGGAGTTCCAACTCTTCAACATGTTAGCATGATATAACATATATATATATATATATATATATATATATATATATATATATATATATGTGTGGGGACTGTTTGATCCTTCATTCTTAACTGCGACATCGGCTCATACGTGATAGTTTGATAGTTCTCAAGTTTAGAAATTCAGCTCAAAAGAAAAAGAGACTCCTTATTGCTGTTAAATTGCATGAAAAAAGAAATGGTTTTAAGACTTTGTACTATATGTACTCATAATTATAAACGAGAACTTTCCTGGAGATTTCTGGACAACGCCTTTACTGTTCCATCACATTGTGACACAGGTTTACCATCGTGGTAACATATCGTGCGTGCTCCAAGCAAGCATCGCCATGTGTGGCTGAAACGCCTTATACCACCTGCAACGGTTAACCAGATGTCAACATCACATTTTTGGCTGTTTTAGTTTATCCAGCTCGATGTTTCATCATTCCTTTCATGAAAACGAAACGGAAAATCTTATCTCTAACCGATAGATCCAATGCAAACATGATTTGACTGGTGCCCAGAGCGTTCGTAAAATGACTCCATAGGTTGTCAGGTTTCCGTTGCAAAGACAGATCGAAAATATGCCAACATCATGCCAGTGCATCATCGCGGGAATCACCTCACAATACGCATGTCTGTTTTCTGTCCAAATAAGATTACTCACACATCTCTTTACAATGGTAAACAGCATACATCTTGTAAATTCAGCTCACTTCAAGAACGTTGCAAGAATTTTACAAGACTTTGCATAGTTTCATTGCGAAGTAAAATATGTTTCAGTGAAAACATTTCTTAACATATATGTAATATATATATATAAGTAACATAACAAGCTATGGTCTCAGTAAATAATAAAGTCCCGGCATAAACTTTCAGACTTGAAGAAGTGTATCTCAACATTGTTGTCTTGATTTCCCGAAGTGGAATATGTACACGAATTGATGTAACCTGACGTCACCTCGGCGATTTGACCGTAGTCAGTCGATAATGTGGTAATACAAGAAGATGACTAGCCAATGAAATAACTGGATATCATATCAAAATAACAATACTAGGTTCTGTAGCTCCTGTTGCGCATTAGGCGAATTGATTTACGTCACCATTCAAAACGTACTATACGTGTACATCAATATACATAACATTGATAAACCATTTCTATTCTGTAAATACATAAGTCAGTGATAGTGATACACTCTCAGTCTTCAAATGCAGGATGTTAAGACCACAACAGTAAATAAAAGGCTATGTATGATACGTTCATTGCTATTTATATCTAAATACATAAATAACGGACTTATAATGACGTACAAATAACAAACCTAATCACGCTTTACCTTACATAAGTTAGAATGGTATAGGAAGTCATTTCATGTGTTTTTGTCAAAAAATATTTGTAGAATCTATAAATATACAAGGTTGTATTGAATTTCATACATTGGATGGTTCATTCGATGATCAGACAGGCTGCGCTGTTTTTACAGGCGAATGCACATGTAATGTTAGCATGTCATATTAATTGCTTTACCCGGGCGGAAATGTAAACAAGCGAGTGCAATGTTTGCACGCAAGGGTAATATTGGCAGTTCGTGCCAAGCTTGGCCATCATGTAGACAACAATTAAATACCCAGATCTCCAAGTAAGCGCCAAATGATGCTCTCTTCTCCTCAAGTGGTAACAAAACAGGCAACAGCTATCAGCTCATATTGTATTTGTTGGAGTCGTTGTTTGCGATCAGAAAAATGGCTAAAAGCAGCATGAGAAACTGAAAAGAAAGGACACCTCGCGAAATTAGAAAAAAAACAATGTTCACAGAATAAATATGCATATTAATACATCACAGATAATTGATATCGGTACAACGAAGTCGTAACAATCGAGTTCCTCCTTTCTTCGTTTTTTTAAGATAAGTAGGGAAGATCACCAGCTATAGGTAATAGTGATTAGCAAACAACTATCTTGGATGAAATAACACTCCATTACGATTTAGTGACTTTGTGGAATATTTACAAGAACAGTAGGGATTCGTTCGTTGGTTTATCTTAATGTGTTACATGTTTTCCCAATTTACGGGATTGACAGACTGATATGTTTCTAGACATATGAAGCTTTCCGGAAGTTGTAACTTACCTCTATCCCTGCGATACCTGCTCCAAAGCCAATGATACAAGCTTGGTAGTTCACAAAGAGGTCATATAAAGATGACTTGCAACCCTGGGATGACGTCAAGAAAACAAACTGATCATGGCATCGAATCGCTTTTTCAGTTAGATCACCTTCACGATCTAAGTTTAAAGTTAGATTGTGCACTGATGAATTTAAGGTGACGGGATTTCATTATTGAAAAGTGGAACCCATTCTAAAATTGAAATATTGTGTATTCATTGAGAACCTTTTCACATTGTCGGTCCAATTACCTGGGTCTTTATTAACAATTGTCCGAAAAAATAAGTTATGGGTATGAAGTATGGTATACCTTCAAACAACAATCACATGGAAGGTAGATTTGCCATCGGATTGGCTTAAAACGTTGGTGCAGATTGTATCACTTACCTGATTGAAGTACGAATTATCAGAGGTGGGTGCAGTTGTACAGTTTGGCATCACGATACTGGCATTCACCATTTTACAGCAAGAATCAGGGATAGTTGCTAAACTTCCGTCTTCAAGAGTTCTGTTCCACTGGCTTCCGGTCATGACGTAGTCACTTCCGTTTGTCCAACCACAACACATTTTCTGGAAATGAGTGTGAATTAGTTCAGTTTAAACAGTATTTCAGTTGTATCAAGCCATGTCAGATTGATATTGAATCGAAGGGAAACCTACAAGTACTGATAGTGTGCTGACCAACCAAGGGCCATAATCAAGGAACACCTGTATAACGAACCCGCGATGGGCGTTGTGACACGTAACCTCTATATAAGGTATATTTTCACGTCTTGAATATATCCTTCGGCAGGTGTCGTTCTTCAGGATACGAACCTTTCCTTGGAGTTGGTCCATGGCCGCCGTGAACCCATCTGAAGGCGCACCATATTTCATCTTCATGTTCTCTTTTAACTCATTATCAAGTTCTCGTTCCCACTGTAACAAATTCAGTTCATTGTAACATTAATTCGAAGTAGTAGTATGATTGTTGTACACATCCGCACTCGGCAATATCACAAAGTTATTTAATGCCTGTCTGTAAATACCCAGGTCTGAACCAGACGATCACGTGACTGACATCATTAACATCGTTCTACACGATCATCCACTACAATGATATGCATCAACCAAGTCAGCAAGTCTGACCATCAGAAACCTTTTCACCTGTTTCTTAAGATAACCTGGTGTTGCTGAAGACCAATTCTAAGTTGGTTCTTTGTTTACCAGGCAATATTTTACAGTCGCATTTTGATTTGATAATGAACGTCTTTTTCGGTTCCGTATTTCTTTTCAAAAGACCAACTGTTAGTGATGTCATGGCTAATTATTCATATACTTCATGAAATTCACCACCTTCTTCAATAGCTTCATGCCGTAAGAGGCGACTAACGGATCGGGTGGTCAATCTCGCTGTCATCGTATCCCAATTGCGTAGATCGATGACCATGCTGTTCATCATCGGATTGTCTGGTCCAGACTCGTTTATTTACAGACCGCCGTCATATAGCCGAAATATTGCTGCGTGCGACGTAAAACTAAACTCACTCACTCACTTCAATAGCTTCATAAGAGAGTGAGGAATTATACGTACGCTTCTTACAAAACGCTCGATGCCTGAATGGCAATGAAGCTTGATGATATCATACGAGACTAAATTTATGCCCCAAGGCTAAAAGGTTAAAATATTGTACAATGCATTCATATGATCATAAATATCGTATAGCTTGTATATAAAGGTACATATTTCTGGAGTTGCCTCCCATGTATTACATCAGTTTTGCTATGTGAGCCCACCACAAGGCGAAAACTCACCGCTTTCTTGAACACAATCCCAAGTATAACAGCCGCTACTTCCACAGCAATAACCAGAGTGATGACAGTTATATACTACAAAGAGAAGAAGTGTAGATAACGATCAAAGTGTACATAACAATCACAAGACAATGTACTGTTGACAAACCCGTTCCCATCATGCTCAGAGATACAATCCAACATCAAACAGGACATAGCAGGTTCCGAGTGTCTCATGCCTGTCCTATAATTGATCGAGATGAGGGTCGCATACAGTGAGGGTAGTACTTCAGTGAAACTTGGCAGATACAAACTTTGTACAATCAGTCAATTGTGCATCGTTTTCACACATTCACAGTTCACAGATTTACCAATCCTGTCCTAATCTACCACAAGCTGTTTTGGAATAGCTGAAACATTGCTTAACAATCCGTGAAAAACTATTTATTCGCTTCTAAATCTAAGTCGTATTACTTTCTTCATGCAGTAGTCATCACATCTGACTTAACGGCGGTAACCCGTTGATCCTGTAAGCCAAGTACCCAAAGCTCAATTACACGTACCAAACCCAGTAAGCAGGTGCTTGACGTCACAGCCGCGGCTATTCCCAGCAAGGCAAAGAAGACCGTACCGGCCCCGCCGGTCGCGAGGACTATGGCGGCATGGCGGAGGAACTCCTTGTCTATGGTGCTCACGTCCAATATGTGCGGGTACAGGGTGTTGAAGAAGCTGTCTTCATCGATGACGATCCAGATACCAACGCCTAGAGCTGCACCGCCAGCTAACTGATCAACAGATGAGGTATTATAGGTGTTACAAACATATACAAAGATCAGCAGCCTCGAGTCATGTGTTGGCACTAGAGGTGTATCAGGATGGTGAAGTGGGCTCCAGTTATGTCCCAATATGTCAGATTAATAAGGGATGACGATCTTAAGTGATGCAGGTCTATGGTATTTAAGTGTGTGAGTGAGTGAGTTTAGTTTTACGCCGCACGCAGCAATATCCCAGCTATATGGCGGCGGTCTGTAAATAATCGAGTCTGGACCAGACAATCCAGTGATCAACAGCATGAGCATCGATCTGCGCAATTGGAAACCGATGACATGTGTCAACCAGGTCAGCGAAACTGACCACCCGATCCCGTTAGTCGCCTCTTACGACAAGCATAGTCGCCTTTTATGGCAAGCACATGGGTTGCTGAAGACCTATTCTACCCCGGATCTTCACGGGTCTATGGTGTTTAAGAGTTTATCTTAACAATCAAGCATGCGTATTGTGCTGACAAACCAAGCACCACAATCAAGGCGAGTCTTTCATTCGAACCACAGATAACGGATTCTACGTCATCTACAGTGAATTACTGCTTTATGAAACAAAGGCTAGTTTCCTTGCGCCCACCCAGTTTAAAAAGAGCAGGCTGTAAATGAATAAACCAAAACCCTTTCCACATCCATTGTACAATTATGAGTTCTATATCATCACCATGTGCTTATAAATCATTATAAAAATAGCGGTTATACCAGGTGTCCACCAATATCCACCAACATCACGGCGGTGGGATTCAGGTGTCCGGGTCCGGTGTGACGAGCCAACGCTTTAACCACTAGGCTAACCTCCCCAAGCTATGTATCACATTTTAGATCATAGTACGAAAAGGTGAGACACTGGTGATTGAAGCTTACTACAGATAAGGCATACTTTTAGTCTATCATATGTAATAAGACTGCACGATAGCGATATCAGCATGTAAAGCAAATGATCCGACAGAAGGTTGGGAATCACGATTTTAATTGTTGATGTGTTGGGTTCATGATCAGCACGAACTCCTCGAGTAGTGCAATGTTGATGGTGTGACGCGAGGTGATACTCACGAGAATGATAATGTTGATGGAGATGATGCAGAATTTGAGACAAGATTTGAATGAGCTGCACATGCTGGTCGTGTCCACCATCAGCAATCTGCAAAGAGATGGTGGAAGTGTTTGGTATGCATGCGCAGGTGCGCTTGATCACAGTCTCACGACACGTGAACAAATACGCCCAGAAACATATCATATTAGAGGCAGAATAGACATCATAGTTCTGAGGCGCACACGCATCGAATCCATACCATACACACCACATGCATAATGTACGTACAAATATCTCACTCACTCACACACACACACACACACACACACACACCACTTGTCCACTATATATTACATCGAATACCTTTCACAGACATTATACTCGTGTAATTTACATCAAACCGAATATTTTCCAAAGACATCGCACACATACCTCGTACACTTTACATCACACCGGATACTTTAATCACACAAAACACGCGTGTTACAACAAGCATACGGGCACATCACACACAGTATACACGCCACAGACACAGATGTACACTCTATATAGGCACAATACCGGAACCGTCGTACCATCTGAATTCCTAGTATTGCATAATTACGATGCACTACATTATTTTATGTATTTAATGTGTCCACTGCATCAGTGAACAACCAAATGAGATGAAGTTAAATATATCTGACGCACAGCTGCACACAGCTAAACCTGGTGTGTATGTATATTCATTAGCTGATTGGTTGACTTCTTCTGTAATGAATGCATTCTCCAGATCTGCTGTGGTTGCTAGATATTGAGGTCAATGTCGTACACTCATCGTCTTCTTAATCATTTAATCAACATTTACTATCGGTCATTTCATAGTACAGAGTTTATTACAATGTTGTTAAACACATGCAATGTGTTAAAGTTGGTGTTGTAAAAGCGAAAGCTTCTAGGGCCATCTAATCACACGTTCACCTCAGTACTCCCTATGTAGACTCCATGTCTAACTTGGATACACAATGAGGAATGATGACCCACACGCCTTAGAGTATTTGATGGGATATATTCCTTCCCGCTTGTTATAATCTCCACAAAGTTCGATATCATCCGCGCATCCTCATCCCCCATGCATGTAAACTTACACATAGGACAGGTACGGCAGAAGAAGAAGAAGAAGTAGTAGTGGTAGTATATTTGGTTTTAATTTTCATTGCTATGTTGATGTACTTAAAACCAGGACCCAAGACACGGGATCGCGACGTGACCTGTTCCTAGGCCCTACCCAGGAAGTGCAATACCGGGAGTGATGTGTAATGCCGTGTGTGATGTGCACAGGGAGGGTACATGGTCATTGGTTGTCACTATTGCAGTCGCATGTCTCAGTTACCACCTACGTCAAACGATCGACGTCAGCTGAGGAACATAACAGACAATCCAGTTGTTGTGTAGGGGTACAACATGAATGAGGTAGCCAAGCAACCGAAGTAGTTCGTGTGGGGGTGCGACGTCCCCCTCGTTGAAGGCAAGTGTCCATACCTTAACTATATGAGTGGGTGTCAGCTGTCGTATATACCCGAGTACATTAAGGCCACCCTATAGGGATACTGGGGTAGGATAGGTACCCCCACGCCTGTACGTGTCATAAAGGAGCGGCCTTGTTGATTCTGTCATCGTGACCTGCCACTGTCCAGCTTTAATGATCCTTCCTCTCTCTCTCAGGAATTAAAACAATTCACTCGATCACTCATAATGCATTCTTTTTTTATTCACCAGATCTTGTATACATTATCAATGTATAAACAAGTGTCTATTTATCTTACAACGTTTTTCTCTAATATTGCTTGTTTATATTTGTTGGTATTTACAGCGAATTACATATACGTGAAGCCTCTCTCTACAATTTACGTGTGTTTCGTGCGCCCTGTCTTTGACGCATATCTAAGCATATCGCTACAGTAGTGGGAGCCCAGGCTAATTATTGGCGCACGTGGGCCGTGGCAGGAGTGGGCGATACTCGATTTTTCTTGAGTTATTTTCTGTATTTAGAACAAGAGTATTGTCTTTTCAACCTACAACTTAGGTATTGTCACGGACGGTCTTTTCAGCATAAAACTTTGATCATGACGTCATTTTGCTGCTGCGAATCAAGGATATTTTCTTTAATACGATTGCTTCATCACGGTGGACAGTGATGAGCCTCTCATGTCGTGACGACGTATTAGTTAAGTCCTTCTTCGATTTGTGTCTTGTATTATTTACATACTACGGTCGAGACAAAGAAGCGGTTCGGCATGTCCCGTGTAGTAAATATGACGTTTTTCTATTGTAGAAATGTGTATAGTATACAACACATTGCAAATAATTTGAAAGCATAAAAATGCTTCTCTGTTAAAATATACATCCCATGCCACGTACTACTGATTTTCCTTCTCATCAAGGAATGTAGAATATGTCACCACCATTGTCTCCCTTGTGAACACATACACCTAATACTACATCAGCAGCTGTTTATGAAACTAAGAGCCTTAAATCCCTTTCCATATTCACTAGAAATAACTGCTAAAACCAGATTACGATTTCAACGTTAGCATGTTCAAAACCCAGGGGCTTCATGTTCCGTTTTGTATGAAAACATTTACTGAAACAGGCATAATCAATCTTCCTTATCGTAACTTATGTGTTGGCGATCTATAGCCTGTTTTTATATAATTGTATTGTCCAAATAGTGCTATTAGTTTTAACTTTCCTAACTAGTTTTAGTTGTAATTGTGATATTCTAGTTGTTTTACTGTCCTTCGTCGACAGGTTTTTATAATATACAAATATTCCATTCCAATTTCAAATATGTTCTCGTCACGATATGGCTGAATTTTGTCGATGTGACGTTAAATATTAACTCACTCACTATCATAAATTATGTACTTAACTCCCTTCTGGCATTAGTATTCCGTATTTGTTTCTGTCAACAACAAAACGGAGGTTGTGAGGGTGCAACTACCATTCTTGATGCACAATTGTGATTTCACCGGGCACGTGGTGTATTGTTAAGGACCGGTTTTAGTTAATGTGTTTAATGTAATCTAAATTACAGTCTGCAGCCAATACCTTCCGGCCAACAGTCGTTGTAGTATTTATACACGACATTCAATAATTTCAATATTTTGCTTTACTTTTGGTATCATCTGGCACGGTATAGACAAATCGAAACTTAGCTGCACCATTATTTCATAACCAGCGCACTTTTGTGTCATTTCTATCGTTATTGGGATATTTTCGGTTGTGTGTTAATGCATTGTATTTTCAGAAATATTTTACCAAAACAAAAAATGGATGAATAACATCTTTCAAGGTTGGTGGGATAGTACAGTCTGCGCAGTTATTATGACAGTGTTATATCGAAATAACAAACTTAAACAGCAATGAGCATTGATAAGAATTGCTCCGGTTTGAAAACAATTTATATATTTTAAGTGCATATACTCCCTCATAGTATTCTAATTAGTTTACTTTGGTTGCGAACAATTGTAAAAGTCGCCATTCGGTTTGAAACAAAACTGCTCTTTTACTGACTGAAAGCGTCCAAAACCTTCACACAGTATCTTCTAAAAAACAATGCCCATTGTACGATTCCAAATTGTGAACGCTTTGCTGGTGAATCACCATCAAGTAGTTCCGGCACCAGGTGTTCGCGGAGAGGTGAGCGAACACTGCTGTGTTCATTGCATGACTAAAGTTACGATAAGTTCAAAATGTTAACTAAAAGGGCTAAAACGTACCTAAAACATTCTCAATTACTGCCCATGTAACAGACAACTTGTTCTTCCCTTTCAAAAAAAGAAGATAATCGAATCTGGTTGGAGCTATTCCAACATTCTTCACATTTGAAATTAATGGTGTACAAAACCTGTCCAGATTATCCGACGAACAGTTTCCACTGGGCGTAAAGAGCAAAAGAGTATGACATCACTGATGACACCTGGTTTTGGCGAATAGGGTAAACACGTCATAACATTACCGTCGCCTACACTATTTGAGTAAAAATGTATGAAGACAAGGCAGACAATCAAGTGATGGACCATGAAATCCAGTCACATGATACCACATTTGTTTCGGAAATTTCAAATAACAGACACACCGCTACTGTAACAATCAAATGTCTTGCGGTGTTGACTTTATACGGATATAGACGTTCTTCCTTGGGGTGCTTGACGTCAACACTTATCGTTGTTCAACATTGATATTTCATGATCCCTTACTTGTTTTGAAGAGTATACATCCTTCAGTCTGAGTTTTTGTGACATGATAACTACAGTGTCGGATTCAACATATTGATTAGATAGCCACACCCAACCTTTATCAGTAGTTGTCTTAAACCATTTTCAAGTCATATTACATTTCCTGGGAATTTATATGAAGGCATATCTATCGGTCTTAACTAATGCTCAATGACCATAATGTTCAAGTATATGTCTATGACACATCCGCCATGAAACTGGGCGTATTGACCTGTACAAATGCATGCAAATACATGAAACATTGAAGTATTTCAACATTAAAATTCATTTCTCCGTGTATCTCTGCTCAGAATAAGTTGTGTGTAACATACACCGATGCCAACACGCTCATATAGCTGAGGAGTAACTATCATCTAGTTCTGACATGAATTCATATCCTGTACGCAGTCGGCAACAGACAGCCTTTCAAAGTCTTTGAAGAGTTACGTGCTGATGATTACACGGTAGCGCCGTTACCTATGATTAACTCGCCCCTCGCGTGAACTCGACCCTGCTACTAGTCATCCCGTCCGTCAGGGGACCAATTACCTGAATTACTGGGCACCAGGATCAGGACCATTGTCTGTTACATCTGCATGATGGTTATTATTCCAGGTAGTGGAGAGTACATATGCATGCAATGCGCCACCTATAACTCACCTACTAATCACCATGGATCCTAATCACACAGGATCACAGAAGGACGTGTCCCTTGAGAAACCCTATTGCGTTGTGTATAAGTTATATGTTAAAGCAAAGCACATCTTCTCATCTCGTTGGAGTGTGTATTATTGAAATTCCTCTATTCAACATAAATACAGGGGCTGCGTCGTCTCGTATCCGGACAACAGCCAACATGTTATTTAAGGTGACACATATGTTGAGTTCAGAATCAGAATATCTTATTTATACTATTTGTGCCGAATATATTTCAAACAACTGAGAGAGTCAGATATACTAACAGGTGAATGTAAATGTTTAAAGCAGCAACTACATGTAATACATGCCTTGAAGTACTTCAAAACAGAAATACCTTCTTCCACACAAAAAAACACATTCAACCAACATAAGACACGCAACACCCCAGACACACAACATAAATAACACACAACATAAACAATAGTCACATAACACTCACGTCACATAACACACACAACATAACAGTCACACATAACACTCACGTCACATAACACACACAACATAAACAACAGTCACACATAACACTCACGTCACATAACACACACACAACATAAACAACAGTCACACATAACACTCACGTCACATAAAACACATACCACACAACATAAACAACAGTCACACATAACGTCACGTCACATACACACACACACACAACAACAACAGTCACACATAACACTCACGTCACATAACACACACACAACATAAACAACAGTCACACATAACACTCACGTCACATAACACACACACAACATAAACAACAGTCACACATAACACTCACGTCACATAACACACACACAACATAAACAACAGTCACACATAACACTCACGTCACATAACACACACACAACATAAACAACAGTCACACATAACACTCACGTCACATAACACACACAACATAAAGAACAGTCACACAGAACACCAGAACACTCACGTCACATAACACACACACAACATAAACAACAGTCACACATAACACTCACGTCACATAACACACACACAACATAAACAACAGTCACACATAACACTCACGTCACATAACACACACACAACATAAACAACAGTCACACATAACACTCACGTCACATAACACACACACAACATAAACAATAGGCACACATAACACTCACGTCACATAACACACACACAACATAAACAACAGTCACACATAACACTCACGTCACATAACACACACAACATAAACAACAGTCACACATAACACTCACGTCACATAACACACACACAACATAAACAACAGTCACACATAACACTCACGTCACATAACACACACACAACATAAACAACAGTCACACATAACACTCACGTCACATAACACACACACAACATAAACAACAGTCACACATAACACTCACGTCACATAACACACACAACATAAACAACAGTCACACATAACACTCACGTCACATAACACACACAACATAAACACACAGTCACACATAACACTCACGTCACATAACACACACACACAACACATAAACAATAACATAAACAACAGTCACACATAACACTCACGTCACACACACACACACACACGCAAAACAACAGTCACACATAACACTCACGTCACATAACACACACACACAACATAAACAACAGTCACACATAACACTCACGTCACATAACACACACACAACATAAACAACAGTCACACATAACACTCACGTCACATAACACACACACAACATAAACAACAGTCACACATAACACTCACGTCACATAAACACACACAACATAAACAACAGTCACACATAACACTCACGTCACATAACACACACACAACATAAACAACAGTCACACATAACACTCACGTCACATAACTCACAACACATATTACTCACACCAGACACAACACACATCCAAAATTCAGGGTAATTAAAACTGTCAAAAACCATGTCAATTCTTTGCATCATTCCAATATTGACATGTTGACATGGCTTGGCGGTGTTTTTATTTTAGACTCTATGTACCAAGAGACAACTGAAACATTTGTTTTGAAAAACACAATTAGTTCCAACTTTTAAAAACTGAAAAAAGCGTCGTGCATGTTTTGTGATCTCATTCTTCAAGCACAACAGCTGTTACTGGTAGAATGGTGATGTTCACTCGTTCATGAACACCTCGAACCCCATGCACGTTTAATATAATTCGTTGGTATATATCTGCCAAGGTTTTTGGTTTTCCGGCCACACCACTGAGTTACAAGAATGAATACCAAAACTGGCTGACGTTTTAAAATCAAATCAATAGACAACTTATTGTGACCTAATCACATGCTGGTCGCGTGTCTAACTGAAATATTCAGAGAAGATATCGCAATGGAGCTATGTTACACCCTGGGACCAGAAGGTGTGAATGTGTGTAAGATATTTACGATTTAACCTGGAATGTTTATATGCACGTATGTTATACATGATTCATGTGAGGCTATATTGCCATGGTACACAGACCGCCCAGACCGGCTCAAACAGTCCTCACACCCTTGGTACACCCAAGCAGCTGTTACACAACTCCACGCCCACTTCTCTCGTTGTCATATCGTTGAACTTGCTCATCAGTGTGACTACAGGGTCACACGCTATGCATCACTAGGTAAACGTATCATTTCAATAGCAGAGCTGTTCGAGTGCTGAGATGCACACTTATTTGTGTTCTTATCAGTTCTAGCCAGGTTATATTTGAAATTGAAATGGCATTTACTTTCTTGTGCACATTTTATAACAAAGTATCTATATTTGATAAACGAATCAGGTTTTCTTGATAATTAGTTTATCAACAGCCACCTTCATCTATTGACGTGTGTCAGTGATGATGTCACAGCTTTACGTTGAGTGCTCAGCCAAACACTTCGTACCAACTGAAAAGGGAAATGCCGCACGATGCATGTAATTGTTTTGTATTTATTACTGCATTCTTTTGTCACATTGAGTGTTTAATGATAGGTTCATGATGAATTCACGTATATTCGTGTAATATCGACGTACAGGCACGTGTGTACGAGTCGGGACTTGTTTTCGTTTTATAAAGCTCGTCCATGCTGCCATTTTACATGGGTACCTCAGTCAGGCAAATTACGATGAGCTGTCCTAGACTGGATAGCAACAAGTATGCCCATTAAAAGTCATTTATATATCCGCAGGCAAGGGATTAGCCCATCGACCTTGCGCTTTCTTCTCCAGAACAGGGATGAGGTCGAGGTTACATCCTTTCTCAGTTCCATCAGTTTAATAATTTCAGCGAAAGACCGGAACATTTTGTCAAAAGTTAAATGGACGTGACATCAATGATTTTAATTATCGTTTTCAACTATATTTAACGTAAATCGATAAACCTTTACCTATACCAATTCGAATCTGCTGTCATGTTGTTTTCTGATTTCGGCAATAAACAACAAAATATCAAATAAAGAAAGAATTGCACATATAATACATTGACTATGTCTTGTAGCTTTTATAATATCTCCTGTGGTCACCACACAAGTGGTGATTGAGCCTTCCCTTCACGAACATGGCTAACTTATCTATACAGACTGCTTTCAAATCCGTCCAAGCAGGAATAGACTTTATAGATACTTTATCTTCACATTAAGCCTCCTACTACAGCTGCTAACATTGATTTAGATATCATCTCTCTACATCAACCTTTGCCTGCTCCTCCTCGCCAATTATGCAGGCCAGACGTAGACATCGCTTTCCATTTTCTGACACATTCATAATTTAAAACACCAACAAGAGCATTTACCGTTAAGAAGTAAATATCAGTCTCATCGGTCGATTTTCATTGATCGTTCCAAATGGTGGGCAGACAGCATGTGCCACTGTCATTTCACCAAACACCACATCTTTCAAAGAACCAGACAATAGCGCTACTTTCACTGCTGAGACTGAGGCCTTCCAAACAGTTTTTACCTATATTCACCATCAGCCTAAAAGAAAACAATTTATCTTCTTTTCTGATGCTTTCTGATTTCGGGCGTTACAAAATCATCCATTTATCCTTAACATTATAGAATTGTACAATGATATTTCTTTCGCCAGCTACATGTACACAGCTTCTTGTGTTGGTTACCTGTCCATGTTCCAATGATAGACAAAACACAATCATTCTCGAGTATGTCTCTCACATTGTGATCTCACATTATAGTTATAAATCGTGTATCAAGGATAAAATTCGACATCCAAAGTATACAAAGTAGAAACCCAAACAAAAACAATCTTTATGAGATAAAACCAAGTCCAGGTGATACCAACCTGATTTGACAGAGATGTTCTGGCGACGTCGCAATTGTTATACCAACAAATATATAATTATCATTATGATGAGAAAATTGTATTTTTCGTAAGGATTTGTCATTCAAATACTTTAAAGTTTGCGTTCATAAAGGCCTTGGCGTGGCCGACTTAAGGATCGTGTCACCACATTAACTGTAATATGCAATAAATTCCAATCTGCTGCTATCATCAATAAAGACTTACTGTGAGGAAACAGGCTCCAAACTGCCCGCACGTTCGCAAGGCTTCCTGTGATGGGCGTATCGAAGAATTTATTCAGCATAATGGTTGCAGGCCAGGTACACTATGACTGCAGTATGTAGGCGACAAAGATTAGGGTGGGCTAAGCAACAGCAGGGAAGAGCTGACATCACGCTGACAAACGTGTCGAGGTTTGGCCTTCGATTTCATAGACGGCATAAAATTGTTGGCGACAAAGCAGACAGCAGAATGTCAGGGCAATAAGTCTTGACTATGATCGGCATAGTGACGGAAGTGTCATGGTGTGGGGTAGAATCAAACTTGATTTGGTTGTTGTGAAAGAATATTTGACCTACCATTATCGACTTTCCATTACCAAAGGTTTTGAATTTTGTAGATGACAAACCACTTCGTGTCCATGTCATCACCGAATATCACTCATATAGATATTGGACTGGCTCGCTGCGTTCTACTACACGACCAAGATATGCATGGGATGTTCTGGGGTGGAGAGTGTACGACAGAGACCCTCAGGGTAGCTATTCGGGTGAGTGGGGCAACATATGAACAACCACGCGCAGGTGGATCAGTTTATGCCAACACGGACTCGTGCATGCATCGTCCAGCATGGTGGACACACCAGATACCTTAAATACACTTACACACATTCATCGCCATTAACCCTCCAATATCATTTCATCAGTTCCCTCAGTTTTTGTCGTTTGTGCAATGAATACCACGGTTTCGCATCACCAAATGACACCAATACAGCCGAGGCGTTGATTTTAATTCAATCACTCCTTGTGGATTAGTAACCCTGTGGGTGAATTATAGAATCTGGATTTCAATTAGGCAGTCACAGAGTATCTCTGTCCATTACCACGATCAATCGGAGATCATATTACTGAACCAGGCATGAAGATCACTGAGCTTAACATGTATATTCCTGAACAGGGTATGTATATTACTGCACTGTGAATGCATGTTACCAGGGAAAGAAATCTTTCAACATTTCCCACTAGACCACAGGACCAGTGAGTGGACAATAATTAGTGGTCCTGTCTACACTTCACTGGTCCAAAATACCATTCGTAGATCAACTATTAATACAAAATTCACTGGCCACAAGGACCACTGCAAACTTATCATTTAGCTTGGTCCTAATGAATTTTACCAGCCAGGGACCACAGGACCAGCGTATGTTTGGCACACTGCCTGTTACTGAACAAGACCTAAACATAATCCAGCACGACATGTATATTACTGAACACGACCTGTACGTGTATATATTACTGGACAAGGCATGACCATCACTGCGCATGGCATGACTACTACTGTAAAGGGCAGGTCACATCTCATGAAGTAACATTCTTCAGAATACAATTTAATGCATTAAGATCAAGGTAATCTCTGATCTTCAGTAACCCATGCTTGTCGTAAGAGGCGACTAACGGGGTCGGGTGGCCAGGCTCGCTGACTTGGTTGACACATGTCATCGTATCCCAATTGCCTAGATCGATGTTCATGCTGTTGATCCCTGGTCTGGTCCAGATTCGATTTTTTACAGACCGCCGCCATATAGCTGGAATATTGCTGAGTCCGGCGTAAAACTATACTCACTCACTCACTCACTCTGTTGGCATAAGATTATGTTCATATCTCCATATCTTTATAGGGCGGTGGGGTAGTCTTTTAGTTACAGCGTTGGCTTTAGTCGGGTTAAATGGGTACAATGTTGGCTCGTCCCCGCCATGATATTGCTGGAATATTGCTAAAAGCGGCGTAAAACCAAAATTCCGTCAGTCAGCCATATCTTCATAAATGCACACGGTTCTTTACAATGTGTGAAGCCCATTTCTGGTGTCCCCCGCCGTGATGTTGCTGGAATATTGCTAAAAGCGGCGTAAAACCAAACTCATTCCGTCAGTCAGCCATATCTGTATAAATGCGTTGCACACGTTAAATGTTCTTTATGGGGTTTCTTCTTAATATGTAGACAACAAGTGTATCAATTCAACACAAAATCTGGGTCAGAGTTAGAAAATGTTAGTGTTGTGTTAATGTATAATCAATTTTATCCATGGCTGTCTATGTAAATTGGAATGTCGTCTAACTGACGGACAATAAAGCATGAATATGTTCCAGATGGCATCTCTGTATATGGATATTAACATATGCCAATATAGTTGCATGCTTCATGTTATGAACTTTTGCTCCTGTCGGTACTAGTATATGAGATACACCATCATGTATGTTGATACTACCCGTGAAGATCCGCGTTAGAATTGGTTTTCAGTAACCCATGCTTGCCGTAACATGCGACTAACGGGATCGGGTGGTCAGGCTTGCTGACTTGGTTGACACGTCATCGTATCCAATTCCGTAGATCGATGTTCATGCTGTTCATCACTGTATTGTCTGGTCCAGACGCGATTATTTACAGACCGCCTTCATATAGCTGGAATATTGCTGAGTGCGGCGTAAAACAAACTACTAACAAACATACATAACCTGTTGATACATAGCAGAAACATATTAACTTTTACTTTTTACTTGCAGTTTGGATATTGTGAGTAATGTCACGTGACTTTGATTCACTATTTCCCATCACCTTTTGATGAAACTAGGGGCGCCGAAAGGTTGGGGGTTTTTCCCACGTCTACTGAAGATTTACTGTTTGTCCGTTAAGACTATCATTACAGCTGGATTACACTTTAAGTACAATTGAACTGTACTCTTAGAGCGATGTTGAATATCCAAAACCGATAATGGGGCGGATTTGGCCAACTTCGCAATAAAGACACAAACTGTGAAAGAAACATTTTGTATGATGCGACCAGGACTAGAGAAAAGGGGTTCGGATTTACGCCGCTTTCGGTAATATTTCGCAACATCACGGCGGGGATACGGCGTTCGAGATATCAGTACATTTACCCATGTAGGTTGTTCGAGATATCGGTACTTTCGGTATAACGGTGTTCCCGCTATCGGTACATTCGGGATACGGCGTTCGAGATATCAGTACATTAGGGCTAGGTTGTTCGAGATATCGGTACTTTCGGTATAACGGTGTTCCCGCTATCGGTACATTCGGGATACGGCGTTCGAGATATCAGTACATTAGGGCTAGGTTGTTCGAGATATCGGTATGTTCGGAATATCGTGGTTCGACTGAATGCATGAGTTCCAAAGGTATTAATTTACAGCGAACCACATATTTGTTTTGAAAAGACTGAAACTTCGTTGTTGATGCGGACCTTAGCTGAAGTAACTGCACAAATATACTTATTGTGTATGTATTTTACAGATGCTGTCAACAGAACCAATAATATATATCTGCATCGTAAAAAAGCTACTCGTATATTCAACACAGAAAGCCACTAATTATTAGACCAGGTATCTTATGCACATTGTTTCTTTTCTACCGGTGGCGGTGGGGTAGCCTAATGGTTAAAGCGTTGGCTCGTCACGCCAAAGACCCGGGTTCGAATCCCCACATGGGCACAATGTGTGAAGCCCATTTCTGGTGTCCCCCGCCGTGATGTTGCTGGAATATTGCTAAAAGCGGCGTAAAACCAAACTCAGTCAGTCAGTCTTTTCTACCGATAATATTCAGCAACGGTGATTTATAAGTTCTGTTCTTCATTAAGAAGTCGGTTGTGAAAGCAATATACACACAGTTTGATGAACAAGAGAGAACTGGCTTTCATGGAAGCATAATAAAGAAATAATCATTCTGTCATTGGTATTGTTAAGATATGAATGGTCATATGATGCCATTCTGAAATGTCAGGGACAAATATAAACCTTACAAAAACACTTATCAATCTTCTGATAAATATTTATATTAGCCTTATAATACAACCTTTGTCAGAGTCGAACATTTAATGACATTTGTCTAATGCGATGCAAAAAGATATGAATTCATGCAGGCTTAGTGTTCGCTATAGTTTTGCTTGTTGGAACTGTTCTTTCTTCTCATTTGTACTCCCTAATAGCTCTGATACTATACACACGCCGGCACCATAGGCTATATCGATTAGTATTGACTGCAATTCTTATTACCACTTTCTGGGGAGAGTGCGGTACCCATAGACACTGCATAGCATCGGGAGCGGCATTATAAACATTCCAACCTTGTTTACAAGCAGAAATATACAAAGACATAAACGATATATCTTTACCAATCCATAACAAGGGAAATATGCTGTAATAATAGAATAGCATTATCATTGTATCGTCGATTCAACATTCAGCTTCAGAAAATGCAGCAATTCTCAGTTCAATGTGCACAGAAGCTATTGTTAACCCTGATTAAAACAATGAACCTTTTTAAAAAATATTTTATTAAGGAACATCTAATCTCAATTCTGAGTGGATAATCACTGTTAACATTCTAAATATACCTCCTACTGACATGAGTGTAAATATTGATCATGACCCCACCCATCTTCCAGGAATGGTTTGTGAAGGATGCTTCAAGGGTTGATCATCCTCATGATGAGCTATCAACATCCAGCTGCTGTGCTTCCGAGGGGGATTGATTCCTTCATTTCAATATTTAAACTGGGAATTTGAAAAGGACATTTCAATACATGGGGCGGTATTGGATTATCGTAGAATTATGCAATATTCACTGCGTTTGTGAGCGGTAGCGTATTGACACAGAATTCTCGTCGGGACTACCGTAAACAGATAGAAGCGATAGGATACATGTTTCGCAATATTCGTCGTTTCACAAGTCCCATTACTTGTAGTGCCAATATTTGCCGTTCAGACGTGCCTGCACTATAAATGTATCGTTTGAAACGATCGTAGATTTTGAAGTGTTCTTAAAGATAAAATCTGTCTTAAGTGATCGCTTACTGTCAAAATGAATATCGGCAAATCGTGTAATCAAAACGTTCAAGGGGGATACTCTTGTTGTCGTTGACAAGAATATTATTTGAACAGTTGAAGAAAGTTTTCTTCTCCAGAGAAGGTTTATATGAGTGGAGCCATTTACGGCATACAGTGGTATCTTCACCCTTTCTCAGTTAAACCGTCATCTATATAACAACTTGA